AAGACAGCGTGGCAAAACAGAACTCGTGGGTTTTCCACAAACCTCCTCCCCTCCCGTGGCTCGTCATCCACCAGTACATCATTCTTAGTTTCTCTTTGCCCGCCACCTCACCCTCACATCCAGTCCCCCAGCAGGCCCACCAGCCCCGAACCCCCCGCTGCCACCACCGCCCCTTGCCCAGACTACCGCTACAGCCTCTTAACTCGAGTCCTTCCCTTCCACTGTAGCCGCCCGACATCAGGTCGAATCCCTGCGCAGCCTAAACCCCCTAACAGCTCCCCACGGTGCAGGAACAGACCCCGGTCCCTACAGTGGCCACAAGGCCCGCAGCCCGTGGCTCCTGCCTCCTCCTCCACCCCGCGGACCAGGCCCTGGCCGCCCATCTTCTGGCAGTTCCTGAACACCCCACGCTCTTGTCCACCGCCACTCTAGCACTTGCTGTTCCTTCTGCGAACTCTTTGCTGGCACCTTGTTCTCCAAATTTCACCTTCAACCACATCTCAGAGGCCATCCCAGAATATCCCCCTTAAAGTAGTACACGCACCTTCCTACAGTAAAGCGTAAGAACTACTTCGAGCCAAAGGGCAGAACAAAGGGGCCGGATGAGAAAAGGAGACCACCCGTGTGCCCCTCCACTGAAGACTCCCCGCCGGAGTCGCCCCAGAACGATTACTGGGGGGAACGGGAGGGGAGGGGAGGGGAGGCTGGCGGGAAGTCACCAGAAATATGCCGTCCCCTCAGCCCGTCGGTTCGGGAAGAATCTGTTCCACTTTAGACTTTTCAACCAAACTGAAAACTAAAAGCATATGGGAAAGGGAGGCCGCAGTCTAACCAGCCTCGGTCCCAGCGGCCGGCGTCTGTCCTGGAGAAACCAGGGGGCCAGCCCGGCTGCTCCCCAAGCTGGGACAAGGTGCTCCTTCCTCCCGCCCCTCCCATGTCCTTTACTGACCCCTTGTCCTCTCCCCAGACTCCACGTCAAGCTTTCTTCTCCACCCAGTCAATACCGGGTCGCTTTTCTCTGGGCTCAGGCGACGCAGTCATCAGTCATCGAACTGCCGCCTTCCAAAGCTCTGCCCCCCGTCTCGTCTCCACGGGGGCGCGCTTGGGAATAACGCAGACACGCACAAGTCATGATCCTCGCCCTGGAGCCTCACAGCTCCCCACTGGGCCGCTAGAGATAGACCCAAACAAGAAACTGTCGTGCAAGCCATACATGCCACGTGACATACGATATAAACAAATTACAGGAATCCCTTTCCCTTGCTGTCAAGGATGACTTAGAATCCAGAGAACGTGCAAGATGGTCCTTAGGTGGCAGATGGAAAATGCCTGCCTTATTCTTTAGTTTCCCCGTAATAAGCCATGCAAGAACGTTAAAAAACCTCGCTGAGACTCGGTAATCCCGCAGCAGTCCGTCACCAGGGGCCGGTAGCCAGCCGCACCCTTTTCGCCTGTAAGGTACTTCATGGTGTCACGTCAGACCCCTCCAGTTTGGGCCCTGCAGGTGGACGATGTCAAGTTTCTTAGAAGGGGACCCTCCGGCACCCAGTCCGCAGCAGCGATGGGAAAACAGACCTAGCACGGAAACAGCGATCGCCTTCCAACAGAGGACCAGTCCCCGCACCCAAACGCTCGCCCCGACCACTGTCCCCACCACCCATCTTGTACACTGTAGCTTCCAGCATTATACGTGCCCACCGTGGTACCCTCCCTGCCCACTGACAGACTCTGTTTCCGTGTGTGGCTGAAAGCCCTCCACTCCCTCCTTAACTGGCATGTCTTATGGGGGAAGAGATTTGGACACACACATTCTTAAGCTTCCAAACTGCCAGGGAGCCTTTACCCTGCACTGGTGGTTCCCAGGCTGGAATCCCTGAACTACCAGTGAAGTGCTTAAGCAATTTTCCGAACACTCAACAGAATTCAGTAACGAGCTCCTCAGACTTGACAGCAGATTCAGTATCAACTCAGTGCGGTGAGGCTGTTCATACCACGTGGACCGGATGCTCGAAACAGCAGGCATGGAGAGGTCATCGGGCGCTGGGGCAGAGAGGGGTGTGTGTGTTGACAGGGACGAGAACGTCTCATGGCTGAGGAGGCGGTGTGTAGCTACCCGGGCGCCGCATCTTTGGTGGGGACCACCGCACCACGCTCTTCAACAGTTCACCGTCCTTTCAGTCCCCCGGGCGGTTTCCGCCACTCACCTGTCTCTTCGGCGCTCCGCCCTAAACCTGGCAAACACACGTGAGCGGCACACACACTGACGGTGTGGAAAGTCACGCAGCAGGACCAGAGCCCGGGAGTGCACAGAGCTGGGGTTTTGTTCCAGCTCTGCCACCATGGGCGGCAGTGGCACCCTCGACAGGTCACTCACCCTGGCGGCACGCACTCCCCTTCTTTCTGCAAAGGGAGTGGTTTTCAAAGCATAATCAAAGCAATTCCTCAGGGACTCCAGGGAAGGGGCAGGGGCGAGAGCTGTGAGAGAGGCGAGAGCGTCAGCCTCACTTAAAATGCCAGCTAAACGGACACTTGTAAAACACAGCTGGAGCCTCGGGAAACCATCTAATCCAATTCCATGTCCACACTGAACCATCTCAGGACGAGGATCACATTTATATTAACACTGGTGGAGTGCCTTGTAAGTATTAGGCATTTAAAATATCTTATTTAGCCCTGGCTGGCGTAGCTCAGTGGATTGAGCGCGGGCTGCAAGCCAAAGCATCGCAGGTGCGATTCCCAGTCAGGGTACATGCCTGGGTTGCAGGCCACGGCTCCCAGCAACCGCACACTGATGTTTCTCTTTCTCCCTCCCTTCCCTCTCTAAAAATAAATAAATAAAATCTAAAAAAAAAAAAAGTAACAATTACCTTTAAAAAAAAATATATCTTATTTAACCCTTCACACCAATTCCAGGAGATGGGTACTAGTTCAGGATTTACAGTCGGGGAAACTAAGGCTGAGACAGGTGAAACGACTTATCTAGTCACAGAGTGACAGAGTGAGGAAACAGAGGTGTAAGGACTTGAACCCAAGCATTTACCTCCAGAGCCTTTGCTCTCCTGCACCCCTCCGCCCGTCTTCCCCATCGCACTCTCTCTGCAACTGCTTCCAGTTCCCCCGCGTCACACCGACTGTAACCAGAGGGTTGAAGCGCTTCCCACCAGAAGGTTACACCCACTGTCTCCCATTCACAGACCCAGAGACCAACAGGCAGGCAGGGACAACACAGGACATGTGACAGAGCGTCCCCCTAACCGCCGTCACTGTTTTAATCGTACCTCTTAGGTCTCCTAGATCTTGCAAGGCCTCTTCTCTTTTCCCTCTCTTCCCTTCTCCAGAAGTCTACGCTTCCACGCAGACTGAATCAAAGGCATGGTACTTTAAACTATGTTCTGGCCAGTGGCAGGTGAGTATGCAAGTCTGCCAGTCTTCTGTCATTTCTCCTCTAACCAGTCTTGTTACAAATGGTCTTCCGCCCTGGCTGGTGTGGCTCAGTGGACTGAGTGCCAGCCTGCAAACGAAAGGGTCACCGGTTTGATTCCCGGTCAGGGCACAGGCCTGGGTTGTAGGCCAGATCCCCAGTAGGGGGCGTGAGAGAGGCAACCACACACTGATGTTTCTTTCCCTTTCTACCTCCCTTCCCCTTCTCTAAAAAGAAATAAATCCTTAAAAAAAAAAAAAAATGGTGCTCTGCATGTACCCGCCCCTTTATCCTCCTACTCCACTCACAACCCCCAGCCCTGGACGCCCTTCCTGAGTCACGCTTTGACCGCACTTCCGGATGACGCCCTCGGGAGCAGAGGAGTGAGGACACAGAGTAGGAAGCGAAGACTCCAAAGGGAAAAGTCAGACCACACACCCACACCCTCAGACCCCCTCCCCGAGGGGCCTCCAAAGCACGCACAAACCCGAGACATGAGTGATGGTTAAAAAAATTTGGGTTTTTATTGTTTTTGCTAAACAATACTAAAAAAAAAAAAAAATTTCATTTTGAAGGCAGGGCTTGAATTATTTAATTTTGATCCATTTATTTAATTAAAAAAAAGGGGGGAAAGAGATCATGGCCAAAAAAATAGTAGTTAACCCCCACCCCACCCCCAAGCTCTAGCCAGTCACAGGAGCATCGCCCACACCCCACGCAGCGCCTGACACCGAGGGCGGCGCACTCCGCCCCAGCGGGCTGCCCTGGAGGCTCGGGGCACCGGGTGCCGATTTTAGCTCTCAGCAGGTTACTCGAACCAGACCAACTGGTGGGCTAAAGTCCAGAATCCTTTCCAGGTTTTCTGCCCACTGGCTGAGCACATACAAACTGTCATAAGCTTGTAAAATCTAAAGGGAGTGGGGACGGGCATCCGAGTGGGAGGCTGGCAGAAGAGAAACAATAGGTGACCCAGCCTTTTTCTGGGCTAGTGACTCTGGTCGGGACAGGTGGACTCCAGGTTCCCGATGAAAGAGTATCATCCCTCAAGGAGGAGTGGAGGTGTGCCGCGCAAACCAGTTTTGCGGCGGAGACTGGAGAAAGGTCAGCTGACTCTCCCTCTCCCGTCCAGGAGACTGGGGAGTGCTGAAGAGGTTCTTCTAGTACCATGAAGACAGATAAAAGGCAGAGGGAGAATCCTGAGCTTTCAGCCAAATGTGAGACTGGCGCACACATGAAAACTGAAAACGAAGAGCCATCAGGAACCCTCAGAGCCAACTCTCATCTGAATACACTGGCTTACAAAGTGCTGCCAGATTCTTGCCGTGAACTAAGTCCAGTTAGTTGCCTGACTACGGGTGGTGGGGAGGGCAATACATTTTTGTTTTCAGAGGGATGAGGTGGGAAGGGTGGCCATGATCTAGTAAAAAGAGACCTGCAAGAAGCAGAAAATATTTAGAGAACATTTTAATATATATTTTCATATATATATTTAAAGTTAAGAAAAATAAAACTAATTCAAGCCATGCCCTGTGCAAAAAAAAGAAAAAGAAAAAAAGAAAAATTTAAAGTGAGACCTGTCTGTTGTTCTAGTCTCAACTGAAGTATCACAGTCAGCTTGTTACTTTTATTTTGGAAAAGATGTAGAAGTTTCTTTCAGAAGTTTCTTGTAGAGGTTTCATTCAGAAGGCAAATGTAGCCACTTATAAAAACAGAATGGCAGGGACAGACTAGGAAAGGAAAGTCAGAGGTGAAAGGGCAGAGCCAGAAAGAAATTTTCAAAAATGAAACTAACAAGATGACCGTTCCAGAGGGGGCTGTGAAAAGGACATGGTGGACCGAAGTCTGTTAGTCAAGTAATGGTTCAACTTTTAAATTATTCTCTTGTTCTTTTTTGTTGGGTGTTTTGTTTGTTCAAGTCTAAGATTTGGAAATGCCGACCCTTTGTTAACAAGAGCCAATGGGAAATACAGGATCCCTTCCCTCCCCCGGCCTGCTTCCGCTGGAGCCACCACCACCGCCTCCTTGGCTGGATGCTGGAAGAGCCCTCCGTGTGTGTGGACTCAGGATGACAGGGCAGCCTCCTTCTGTGGTTGCTGGGCTTGTGAACGCTGCAGTATCTTTTGGCTTTCCACATCTCTAAAATGTTTTTCAACCTGAAAGAGACCAGTCAGCCAAGGTCAGAACAGGAGCCAGGCACGGAGGGCCTCTCAAACAGTCCGTTCCAGGTTTCGATAGCCCCAGCCTGGCAGACCAGCCCCGGGTTACTGGGGTGCCTCTGCCCTGCTGTCTGTGGGCCCTTCCTACAAGGCAGGTGGGGGTCTCCTGTTTCAGTCACATTTTTTGCAGCCTCAGCTAAGACTGGATAAAAGAAGGTGAATCTAAAAACTAAAACAGAAACTGAAGAGAGATTATTACGATTCGAAAATCCCTTTCCCCTCTTCACACAAGTACGGAACACAAAGCTGGTGGGGGATTATAGTCTTAAACTTTTTATATCCACAATATTGGCCTTTCAATGTTTTTCTTTTTTTTTTATAAATGCTACAACTCAATCTAAAAAGGCAGATGCCATATGCAGAGTGGGGGACGCCAGTGGCAACTGATTTATTCCAACCAGCCCTTCCTGAGAAGAATCCAGCCTGAGGTGAGGGGAATTCCAAAAAGCCACACACAGAGGGTCACACTGCAGACGACCACTCACTTTATTCCATACTACCCAGTGGCTCCACCCCTGCAGGAGTGTCCAAGCCACAGCTGCAGAGCAGCGCCCTGCAAGGAGGCAGGGAGGCCGGGAGGCCAAGCAGGGCCTGCAGCTCGCGGCCCTGCCCTGAGGCTGGAGGGCGAAGGCCAAGGAATCACCCTCCACCTAAAGTCTCACGGCTCCTTTACTTACTATTTTGCGTACATGGCTCAGTGCACTCCCCTCTTTGCCTTTACAGTTTTCCACTTGATATGGGGGTGTAATAACAACTTCTTCCATGACTATGATGTTTTTTTCTTGCCATTTACAGTCTTTAATGCTGGAAGGAAAAAAAGAGCAGACGCAAGTTACCTCTTGCGGGCATCCCATACCTCCTGCTGAACCCAAGCTCCCGGCTCACCACTCAGCCAACACTAGTGGCCGGCAGCCCGCAGGGAGGGTGGCCAAGAAACGTTTCCTGGGCACCACCAGCCGGAACAGCGGTGAACCTGGCGCACGTTCACTCTGAGGAAGGCCCGGAAATGTTGCTCTGAAGCATCAGGGGCCATGGGGGAAGGGAGATACACGGGGACTAAATGGGGAAAACGTAGCAAAGATTATATATATTTTTAAAAAAAGCATCAAGGGCCTGGAAAACAATAGCCAACTTGCTAGCAGCCCTAGAAGTCCAAACCCAATTGAGTTCCAGACAAAGAGCCAGGCTCAGGCCACTAGAGTCAACTGAAGTAGCAGGCCAGGGCAGGGGTTGGTAAGCTTTTTATGTAAAATAGGTCAGACAGCAAATATTTTGAGCTTTGAAGGCCATACAATCTCTGCCTCAACTACTAAACTACGCCACTGTCCCTGAAAAGCAGCCACAGAGAACATATAAACAAATAAGCAGATCTAGACTGCTGGCTACGTTTGCCAACCTTCGCCCTAGGGGGAAACTTTTAGGGAAAAACAGGAGAACAAATTCCCCATCAGTCTCCATCATATTGTGATCTGTGCTCTACCCGAAAGGGAAGCCGCTCCCCAAACCGGTCCCTCTGAATTATCAGACAGCTGGACCCTCGCCAGACTGGGAAAACCCACTCCAGCTCGCACTCGGGAGCCCAGGACAGCTGACACTACGGAGGGAGTTCCCTCACATACCTGTAAACGTTCAGATACTCACGCCGTGGCCACAAACGACTCTAATGCCAGCTGCCATCTGTGCACCAGACCCAGGTGGTTAAATAGGGTAACAGAAGGCAGCGGGGGGGAGGGGGGTGTCAAATGTTTCAGTTTTTCAGCAACTAGGGAAGCTAGTGGAGAGTCAAATGACTTCCGCTGTGACAAAACGTCTTTTAGGGGGCGGTAATAGGTGGCCCTCTGCCCTCCCTAACTCCTGTGTCTACCCCAGTGTACAACTGAGAAGAGTAAAACATGAAACTTTTCCTAATAAAATTGCATAAGCTTTTAGAGAAAGGTACAAGATGAAAATAATAAAAGACAAAGAAATCACTAATTCTAAATTAAGGAATACTGGGTCTGGAAGGGACCCTTAGGGGTAATCTAATCCAAAACTAAGTCTTACAGAAGAAACTGCGAAACGGACACGCACGGAGGACAACTTGTCCCTGATCACGCCATTCTTCTGTATGGAATGGCGACGAGCACCCACACCTCTGGGTGCCATGGCACTACCAACACACTGCCCAGCTTCCCTGGTGACTTTCAGGAACACGGCTACCTGAAAGCCCGCCCCCAGAGAGCACGGCCGGGCAGCACACCCCAGGACGAGGGGCCCCTGTGATCCCCCAACTCACGTCTTGTGAATGGTTTGGAAGAGCTGCTGGCCCTCCAGGGAGACGCCAGCACTGATTGCATAGGCCTGGCTCAGTTTCTCCTCCTTCTCTGTCCGTGCTTTGCTGGCAAGCTAGAGAGGGGGAGAGAGCAGAGACTTAGAACATCATTCACCTTTATTCTTCCCAACAGACAGGACCCACATTGAAGAGAGGAGGCCAGAAAACACAGGTCTGGGGTAGATTGTTTTCTCAGCGATCAAAAGTGAAACAAATACACAAGATATCCCTGAACAGTTACTGCTTTTCCTGGCAAAGATTCCTTCCTTCCGATATTTTGAATGCCTACCACGTGCCAGACACTCACTGTGCTGAGCCAGAGATACAGCTCAGAAGGGGGCAGGGGAAACAGACTCTAAACAAAAACACAAACAGGGCAACTTTCCGCAGGGGTGAGGGCTGGACAGAACACAGGGCAGAGCAACGCGGTAAGGGTGTAACTGGGGAGCTACCCGATGGGAAGGGACGGTCAGAGGTAAAAGGTCATACAAACATTTCTGGGAAAGAAGAGGATTAAGACTACTTGTCAGCCACTGTGCTGGAGCCTCGTGTTTAGAAACCCATGTCTGCTGCACCTTCACGAAGCAGGACCTGAGGCTCTGAAGACTCTGCCTTTCCAGCACCATGACCTGTGCTCCCACAGGAGCCAAGACTCAAGTGAACCGAACCGCGGACACTGTCCACCTCCAATCTGAGCAGAACGGCACCCCTGCTCTTCGGAAAAGGGCCTGCGCTCTACCCCACGTCTGTTCTTGAACTGCCCTCTAGTGGAACGACCATGGGCTGATGGAAAGAAACGTAAAACAGGCAATCCCTCCCCACAGGCCTGGGACCCTGTCAAGCCTTTGCTCCTCTAATACGTTTATTTTTTATTTTTTTATTTGTAGACAAAGGAGAAGGGAGGGAGAAAAACATCAATGTGTGGTTGCCTCTGGTGCGCCCACAGCTGGGGACCTGGCTCACAACCCAGGCTTGTGAATCAAACTGGGAATCGAACCAGCGACCCTTTGGTTTGCAGGCTGGCGCTCAACCCACTGAGCCATACCAGCCAGGGCTTCTCTAACACGCTTCTGATCCCCACCCCACACTATTGGTTACTAGAGGTGTGAAGTACAAGTTTGTTTTGAGTGGGAGACAAAACGAATAGGCTGGACAAGATGGTCAAAACGAGAGAGAGAGAGAATGCATCCGAAAGACAAGTGATGTGGAGACTTCCAGACACACGAACAGCTTAGTGTGCTGATGCCGCAGCACGCTAGGGACATGTGCACAAACACACAACCTGTCGTGAAACACCAGCTCCTTCAATACAAAGAGAGGTAACTGTACCTCCAGCGCATCCCCCAAGTACCTAGGTACTTGGAATTCTTAAACATCTGTATTCTGCTTTAACAATGACCTTTCAAACCAGGAACCAAACACCGTTCTACCCGGGAAAAGTAAGCCAAGTGTCTTAACTGCCTGCTGGTAAAATGAAGCACTTTACTGAGGTGTGGGTTTGACTATGAAGATGGAAAAAGGGGGCCCTCCGTCAGGTTCTCAGGGACTGGGGAGTCTGGTCCCTGCCTCTGAACTTCAGAAGGCTGCCTGAGGGAGGAGGGGGTCTGAGCGCGGAAGAGCCAGCCCAGACACACTGTCATCTCGGCCTCCCCAGGCCAGAGAGGGAAGAAAGGCCAAGACTCTGCGGGCGGTCTGAAGCCAGAGCTCCGTGTTCACAAGGTCCCCGGGACGTGCAAACAGACAGAGCGCAGCAGTAAATAGTCTTTCAAGCCCGGTCCTGCCATTTGGCCCCACCAAGCTGCAGCTTCACAGAGGAATAAAAACACAGGGCCGACAGCATTCCTCTGAGCACCGGCGATCCCAAGTGCAGCGAGAAAGCCTTGTGGCTTGAAAGCACTCGCTCTCTACGGAAAAAGAACGGCTGCTGGTGGGTTCTGAGTGGCGACCAGCAAAGCTTCCTCGGTCATCAAGAAAACCCCAGTGACAAGGCGTTTCCCCGAGTCTCCCTTTCCCACTGACCGTGTAGAAAATCCGAAGCCTCCAGGGAAAGAAGGGAAAACGGGAGGACAGCAGAGCTCCCGGGAAGCGCCCGGCGGTCAGGCAGACGTTTACTCGGTGGGCATGCAGGAGGGTCTCACTCTGAGGTCTTTTTAAAAATGTTTATCCCTGAAAACCAAAAACGTCTCCCAATGTTGTGTCAGACAAAGTTCCTCCTGTGAAGCTTGTGTTAACTACATACTCTGGTTACTCAGAGTAAAATATCCTCGTCACCTACACAGTAGGTTAAAAACGTAACATCACCCATTCAGTAAGACAGAAGAGTCAGCTCAGGGAAACCAGGCATTTATGCAGAATGTTTAAGAATGGAACTCACAAATTAAGCCAAAAGAGGGCGGTGAGGGGAGGAGGCTGACAGAGGAGTCACTTTTAAATTTTTGCGAAAGGCAGAATAAAATGGATACAAATCTCAGCCAGAAGTGATTATTTTGGACAGCCTGAATAATAGCAACACAATAGTTACAGGACAATTATTTTAAAATACACCCCTACCCCCCACCCCTGATACCAGTTGCACAATCTCTCCTAACGGCTCTGACAGCAAAACAGAACAGGTCATTCTCCGCATCAGTTCATAGTGCAAACACATTCCCAAAGCTAACTGACATACAGGAGAGCCTTGGCAAACCCGCGGAAATTGGAGTGAGCTCACAGCAGTTCCGTCCGCTCCAACAGCCTCAACGCCCCTCCCTGGACTGCAACTGTGTGCTTCGGGAGGGCCGGGTCTCCCGCAAACCCCGGAACCTCCAGCTGTCAGTTTCCACACTGTATTTTCACAGCGATCTGAAAAATGCTAATATCTTATATTCAACACATCTGCTTTCACTGGGAAGTTGTACAGGGTACATTTCTTCCACAGAGAATCCCATCAACTAGGCGTGGGGAAAATTTCCCTCACAGAAAGAATCGAAAAGTGTTTCTTCTCAAAACTGGGAGGTGAGAGAGAAGAGGGAGATTATCCTGTTCTTTTTAGACATGTTCCCCCAAAACTGATGAAAACGGGGATAAGAGCATGGCCGATGTGGCTCAAGGTCAGAGCGTCCTTCTGCAAACCGAAGGGTCACAGGTTAGATTTCCGGCCAGGGCACACAGCTAGGGTGCGGGTTCGTCCGCAGCTGGTGTGTGCACTAGAGGCAACTGATGGATGTTTCTTCTCCCCACTTCTCTCCCTCCTTTCCCCCTCTCTAAAATCAGTAAGCATGCCCTTGAATGAGGATTAAAAAAAAAAGTGGATAAGCCTCCTTTTGTAAAGCTCAAGTTAGCTGTTACACAGACCTAAATTTCCCCACATTATATTTTAGTAAACAAATGCATATCTATAAAATGGTCGTTATTCCAAGTTAGCAAGTTCACAGTATTGTCAAACTACCAGAAGGAGCCAATAAGCGGCCCTTAGAGAAGAAGGTGGGAAGGGCACCAGGACTGCGATCGTTAAGTTCAGTGACTGCCACCAACTACATCCGTGCTCCAATGCGAACACGTAGGCTGCTGGCCTCTCCTAGTCAAAACTGAAGTACTAACTGTTTAGAATCTCAAAGAATATTAAAGGCACCAACTTCAAGAGGACGACTGACTCAGGCAAACCAAAAAGCACAAACCTACAAACACTTGTTACGAACGTGCATGTGAACCAACCGAAAGGACTGCACAAGACGACCTGTGCGCACCTGCCTCTTCCTTCATTCCGAGTGTTTCCCAGTGGAAACAGTTACTCCCAGCCTACTGACCTGTGCTTCCTCCTGGGGCCATTTTATATGTAGTGCTTGATGTGGGCAAGAGAGAAATGTGCATGAACTTGACACCAAAGCACATCAATATTAAAGGACTTCTAGTCATGCCTGCTGCTGGCCACCCCTTGAGTCAATGAATTAATAAACACCAATGGCACACATCTCTTCCTGTACTAAGCATCGTGGAGTAGAACAGCCACAACAAAATCCAAACCATACACACTTCATCTTGTTAATCAGTCACCAGCTGGGCCATCTTATTTCCACACACCCAGTCCAGGGAAGTCCAGGTGCTGTGGGAAGCCCAGAGGGACTCTTCCTGCAACTATTTAGCAGGCTGTGACAGCTGATACAACAAGGGAAGCAGAGCCTGGGGAGGAACCCACTGGACGTGACCTACTGACTCCGATGAGCCACTCACAGTTTGTCTTCTCTCCGTGCTTGGGCCTTCCAACCAGCTGCCCTCCCCGAGGGGTTAGCGAGCACGGCAGCTGCTGCCCTGGAGCTGCCAGCGCTGCCTGCAAGGCCTGGTGGGGCTCAGGGGTGGCTGCCCAGCACGGCCCAGAATAGCTGCCATGCTAAGGGCCCATGCTGGCTCCAGCTATTTCAATTCTACAGTGCACTCTTGGAAAGCCCTCATCTTTGCAACAAAGCAATCTCTTAAAAAGTGTTTCTTTCACCTACCAATACCTGCAAGTCTTCTAGTTTCCCTAGCTGAAAGCTCTTATATGAAAGTTTCTAAGAAAATACCATTCTTTACAAACCTGGATAGTGGGGAACTCAAAAAACATAGTATCCCACTTGAAGTTGTGCCCTAGAATACATAAAAATAAATGAAAACATTGAATCCAACACCAGATCAGTACAGCCAAAAAGGCCTGGCAGTGAACACTAAAATTCTATGAGCTAGACTTGTTGAGCGAGAGTTACTCCACACTAGGCACAAAGCTACACTTCACATGTGTTAAACATTTTACCAGCCCTGGCTGGTGTGGCTCAGGGGACTGAGTGTCGGCCTGCCAACCCAAAGGTCACCAATTCAATTCTCAGTCAGGGGACACGCCCGGGCTGTGGGCCAGGTCCCCAGTTGGGGGCACAAGAGACAACCAATGTATGTTTCACACATTGATGTTTCCCTCCCTTCCCCCTCTCTGAAAATAAATAAATAAAATCTTAAAAGACAAAACATCTCTGTACAATAATCCTATGAAATGGGGACTAAAACTACTCCTGTGTAATAAATGTAGAAGCCAGGCACAGCTGTTAAGAACTCGCCCAAGTTTACG